ACCCGAACACTATCGGATAACGAATAAAAGGTCATATCTCTCCAACTTACAACACAAGATCATTATTATTAACCCAAATGGCAAGGACCGAAAAAAGAGCAAAAGATTCGAAGTAAAACATTGTATGTACATATGTTCAAATGTACTATATAAAACGTACAATTTTTTTTTTTATTATTCATTCTCAACTACCAACCTAAAGAGAGGGATTAACCCATACAATGCCAATCATGTGAAATATTTCTCAAGTTTAAATTAAGTGTTTTTAATCTGTTATTTTTAAATTTGCATTTGATTGCATTTGTGCTTTAATCCTAAGCAGCCAAAGGCTGATAGTTGCTGTTTCGCGTCGTTAAAATAAACAAATTTAAACTAAAATAACAAACAAAAGGTGTGTCGTGTCAGTGCGTGAGCTTTGTTTGGCCACGAGCTGTATTAGGGTGGCGATGCGTAAAGTGCTGTTTCTACTTTGGAGAGTAGATGTGAAATCGCACAGGGTACGCCGGAGGAGTTCCGATAATTTTAATTAAAACAACAGATAATATTGTGTTTTAATTCAAATGCTTATTCACAAGTTTATTCAGTTCGATAGAGTTCGTACAAAGTTCGATTAAAAGCTACTTAATTTGCCCGAGTGGCGGTATAAAAACTTTGGCGATGCGGTTGCGGCGACGTTTATAAAGTGAATGAGCACCGCTTCGTCGGCGAGGAAGAGTCACACCGTACACTCAATTACAATACATTTGACTACTACAATGCAATTTCGAAAAAAAAAAGCAAGATGAGGTGACCGACCGTGTGTACAATATTATTCGAAAGAAGTGAAATTAATTCACACTAGCAAATTAACCTTATATGAAACGGTATCGGGAAGAGACCGTAGAAAATCACGTTGATTTTCTATAATTTTTTAGCTGATGGTGCTAGGCACTTTCTCCCATACACACGNTATGAAACGGTAACGGGAAGAGACGCTAGAAAATCACGTTGATTTGCAATCATTTTTTTTTTGTTGATGGTGCTAGACACTTTCTCCCATACACACAAAATTGTCGAGCATATTTTATATGGAAGAAAATGCGAAACACCGTCCACCAAAAAGAAAAAGATTAAAAATCAACGCGATTTTCTAGCGTCTTGAAATTTGCACTTCAACCTACTAAAATTTAATAAGCTATAAAATTGCATACCCAAAATGTTTCTAGAAATTCTGAATTAAAAGTTTAAAATTTTCGAGTGCAAATGTTTGTTGAATTTTCATAAATTTTGTACGAAGTTTGAAATGTGGATTTATATGGGGCTGGTTAGGTAATGTGCTGGACTTTTATAAAAAAAAATATAACATTAAATAAAAAAAATAAAAATTGCCAAAACTAGTCAAAATGTCACTTGACTTAATCAGCTGACCACAAGGGGACATACATACATACATATGCGTGTATGATAGTAGCCACGGCCACTTTGATGTTTCACTAATGACGTTTGAATATCTCGAAAAAATTTTGCATTTTCATTGCAACTATTAGTAATAAATTTATGATGAATTCTCTTATTTGTTAGCCCTAAAACAAAAAAAAAATACATTGTGAAATTTTTAATTGAAAATCTCCAATGAATGCATTTTATTATTTTCTGGGCTGTTTTCCATGATTATTTATCACCTTAGAGCTATTTAGTTGAGCTTGCGCTAATTACTTTTGACAATTCCCTGGAAAATTGCTCACTTTGCAAAGGTCGTTAACGAGTTGACGGCAAAGTTAAATGCCACTATACTTTATAAATTTAAAAACATTTTTGTGCGGATTACACTCACTTCATTCATTAGCGCCGCCTGTCAGTTTAGCAAGCAAGCAAAATTTCCAATGCCCGCTGATTTTATGTAGTATTTGTTGCGCTCCTCAAACTTTTTGTCAACTTTTACATGTCGCCCTGTAACGGTGGTAAAAGTTTGCAGCCGGCTGACTCTGTGTTAAAGTTCGCGTAAAAAGGGGTGTAATTACATAATATTTTTGCACAAATACACGTTTATACCAATTTAGATATCTACGTGTTAGTATAATACAAACTTGTTCCTTTAAAAGTGATATGTGCCCAAAAAACTAAATTGCGCTATTAATGTGGTTTTATTGTAAATTTGATGTTATGGTATTTTATAATTATTATTTTTTGGTTGGAAACTAAAAACCCACATGCTTACATCGAAAATTGCTTGTTAAACGAAAACTGCTATATATGTATATATATTTTTATTTTTATTTTCATTTTTTTTATAGATATTTGCTGAGCTTTGCCGGCCACTTAGCAAACCGCACTCGTCTCTTTGCCATCAGATTTTGTGCAAAAACGTGTTTTGCTGAGGGATACAATCTGGCTGATTCAATATGTGCATATATATCTCTGTGCAAGCACATGCATACATACATACATACATACATGCACATGCACATAGATGCCAAAACTTGCTTAAATCTACACACATACACATGTATGTCAATATGTTTGTGCGCTGCAACCATTTATGCATTTTTGTGTTTTTTGTCTAAGTTTTTTTTTTTTTTTTAGGTGATGCAACATTAAGCAGTCGATTCGCAAATTGCTTGAGGCCAAACATCCAATGAAAATATTTAAATAATTTTCAGTGTAAAAATAGATATCTATGTATGTGTAAGTAATGCTAGTAGTTAAAAAAATTACTCATTCAAGTTGCGGAACAAGCTTACAGCACATTAGAGTGGTCCATGTTTTGTATGGGGGAAAAAATTTCGTCACAGGAAACGGGGCACCCCTTAGTATTTTTCCTTTGATATTTGTAATATCTATACCAACTTTCAATTTTCAATGACCCTGAAATCCTCTACTGGATTGCTTTAACTCTGACTAAAATATTGGTGATTTTTATAAAAAGCTACAGTTGCCATGACAACTAAAGCTTCCAATATTTTTTTTAGGAAATTTAAAATTGAAATATTCTCAGGTTTCTTAGCCATTTTTTTGATTAATATATGCACAAAAAACTTTTTGAGTAAAATATAAACATTTCATGAATATCTCCTAAATTTATGCTAAGAAAGGTAGAGTTTGGTACCAGCACTTCTTTCGGCAAGAGAAAAAATTTTGGAAGGTGCCCCAAATCCTATCTCGGAGATATAATAACGACAAAACTCAAAATTCAAAAAAACCCTTAGCGCAATTAAGTGGCTCATGTCTGTACTCCTTGTCTAATCCATGTCTCATACCTAGTAAAGTAAGTAGTAAGGAGTAGACATATAGTAGACAAGAATAAGAGACATGAGAAACTTAATAGTAATGTGTGTATCCAGTGTATCCTTCAGATATACCACGGAAAGGCTAGGGGTCATGCGAGCGCGCTAAGTTTTACGAGAAAGTCAGCCCTTTCGTTGCCTTCAAACCATTCACCTCCCGCGACCCACCATACCGTAACTCCAATGCGAGCTAACAGGTGGTTACTATTTAAANCATCGAAAGTGTTGGAACATTAATTTAGAATTTTACACGTTTCAGTGGCAAAAATAACAAAAATTGAAGTAAATGTTTCAACAGAAAAATTTTCTTTAAGGAGCAAATGAATTATTTTAGCTCTTAGCTCCTTGCTCCGCTCGGCTCCGAAGCCCTGCTTTCAATTATCGTTGCTCTGGTGCCATACAGTTCTGAAAAGGGCGCCTGGAAACCATATCCGTTTTCGCTGCAAAGGAAGTATGCATGTATGTATGTATGTTAGTTTTTATTTTGTACGTTTGAACATAAATTTGCACATTTGTATGTATGTATAAACGTATGTTATGTGTATATTTGCGCGCATGAAAACCCCCATTCATTGCATATTGAATATTTTAATGGCAGCCCATTTAGAGCGGATATCCTTTTATGAGTGCTTTGTCGGCATTCAATCGGTGAGCAAAAAAAAACGCCAAACTTATAGTAAAAGTTGTGCGGTAATTGAAAGTTATAAAGTATGCTTCTTTTTTTCTGCACTCATCGTTCAGTTTCGGAAGTGTCGCAATTGAATTGAGCGAAGCATAAAAAATGCTCCGATGGAAACCATCGATGGTATTCAAAGCTTCAAAGCAATACATATAGTTAATGTTTATAAATTTCAAATAAAAATAAGTCACTACACACACCATGACTCGTTGATGAATACCACTTACAAATAATTATATAGGTACTTACTTAGTAAAATATATTTCACTAATTAAGTACACAAAGTTTGACTTTTAATGACTATAGAATGACTACTAACTAGACTACTCACTTGTGCTGCATACTTTGATACAATTTTAATTGAGCTTTTTAAAGATTTATTTATTTTTTTTTTTCATTCTTTCAGCAGTGCCCGCCAATGAAAGTGATTGCTGCTTGGCGTGATGAAGTGGAGGGCGTGTAATATTAAAAAAAAAATTTTTTTTAAAATTTGCCAATAAGGACACAAGTTCGAGAGACATATGTATATCTAAAAGTATTGGTATAGACGCTGTTACACGCTGTCACACAGCCGCACTCAATGCGATTACATAGACATATTGAAAAAGAGACCACCAACGCAATTTTTTTAAGAGGGAAGAGCAGCAAAAGAAATCAAATTTCTTGCCATTTTTGCTTTATGTATTTAATAAAACATTTCCTTCAAATGCAAATGGCTTCTTCATGCAGCACAGCATGTGAAAGTAGTAAGAAAATAATTGCTCTGACATGAATGGGAAAACACTAAAGTACCCCGAAACCAACCTCCCCCGTGGAAAAAGTAACGACGAGTGCTTAAAACAATAAATATTAAATTGAACTTGAAATGGGCAGCCGCAAAAGCAGCGTAGTCGAAGCAGTTGGCGATTGCATCTTAAGCCGCAGCAGCATCAGCACCAGCAACAGCAGCAGCCGCCGGTCATTGACGACCACAAAGCAAACGAAAGGAGCAAGGAGCTCACAGGTACACTCATTACCGCAAGCCATAGTTGTTGTTTGTATACTAAAAGGGGAACAAGCAGAGGAACAACCACGAAAGAGTGACGACACACTTACAAAGAAAACGATTGAAAAACTCACCACGACTTACGCATCACAACAACAGCAGCTGCAACAACAAAAGCAGGAAAACCCATCACTATTTCGACGACAAACAGCCGTCGCCGAAGACATCACCAGCTGCTACGCCATTCACTTTTTTTTCATTGTCATTAGCGTAAGGAACAACAAAATTGGTATAGACGTATTGCTGTTGGTGCAACATAGCATAAGCAACACTTCGGAAATGGTGGTCACGTGGCCGCAAGTGCATACGGCTACCAGAGGTGGTGCCCGTCATTGTAGGAGCCATAACAGCAGCAAGCGTGCTAATCGTAGCAGCTTAAGCAGCAGCAATAACAACAACACCTTGAAAATGTTCAACATACCGGCAATTAATGGTAGTACGGCAAGCAACAACACCAATAACTTTGGCAGTCAAACTGGTCGAGCCATTATATCCGTTGCAACGACACTCGCCTCCACGTCGGCAACAATGGCAATGGCCAATATACCCACCACCAATTTAGTACCACCGCCCACCAGCACGACAGAGAGCATCTGGACTGCCAGCTTCGACGAAAACAACTGGACACTTGACGGCGTTAGCTGGCCAACAATGAATCAATCATCGACGGACAAAGTCGATCTAATTGAAATGGATTTAGCAAATGAAACGTTAAGGTAAGTATTTGAAGCAAACTATACGCGTGTGTGTGTGTGTGTGTGTGTGTGTGTGTGTGTGTGTGTGTGTGTGTGTGTGTAGGCTAATATTATTGCGTGCTTGGCGAGTGCCAAAATGCTCATTTGAAGTAATGGGTGGAACGTTAACTGAGTCGGATGTGATTGCTTGAGGATAGAGGATGGAAAGAGGAGCGAAACTCTTGAGCTCCATTGACAAGCGAAGAGTGATAGCTTGGAAATCGATTGGATAGCGACACTAAGCACGAAGGCAAATGACATTTGCTGACACTGATTCATTTCGGAGTAATATCTATTTGATGAGTATTTAGCTATTTCGTGAATCAACTGCGAGGGTGCTCTAATGAAAAATGGAAGCTCCCTTCTCTTCAAAATTGGTTCGAATAAAAAAAGTCTGTTATATTCTTAAAAAATTGGTAAATAGGAGAATTAAATATGGCGGAAAGAGTTCGAAAAATTATTGGATTCACTTGAAATTTATTACTCGGGTATTTAGAGGATGTTTACCAATTTTTTTATCTGAAACAATTTTGAGGAAATTTCAGGTTAATCTAATAATTTTTGAAAACTTTGTCCGCCATATTGGATTTTTTTACCTGAACCAATTTTGAGAAGGTGAGCTTCAGCAGACGAAGAATACCGCATATACTATTTTCTTCAAGTTCGTTTAATTTTTGTAGAGTTTAATTAAAAAGTTTTTATTGAGCTTGAGGTCGTTTTTTGTAAAAAATTATTAAAAATAACACTAGTTCTATAAATGGCAGAAGTTATAGCTGCTATTTCGGAGATTACCATATCGCCTCATCAGACTTCTTCATCGAGGTCACTGAGATTCGAACCAGCTTACCAGTGGTCTCACTGTCGATCCACTGCGCTAAGTTCGCTTCATAAACCGTTTTTCCATTTCGCACTTGTGCACAAGNGTCTGTCCGTCCGTCTGTGCACACGATAACTCGAGTAAAAATTGAGATATCTTAACGAAACTTGGTACGTGTAATTCTTTCCGGCGTAGGACGGATGGTATTGAAATGGGCAAAATCGGACAATAACCACGCCTACCTCCCATATAACGGTAATTTTCAGAAATACGAAAACTGCGATATTTTGGTAACTACTGAAGATTATTCACTCAAAATTGATATTTACAATAATTTCAAGACGAAAACAAGAATACTATAAATTTTTGAAAAATGGGCGTAGCCACGCCCACTTATGGTTACATGTGTATATCTTGGCAACCGCTGCACCGATTTCTTCCAAACTTAGCACAATTGTTGGCCTTGGTACACCAGACCAAATGGCCGAACATTTTTAAATTCGGACAATAACCACGCCCACATTCCATATAAGGGTAATTTCGAGAAATACGAAATCAGTAAATATTAAAGCTAATTTCTTCGCAATTGACGCTTGCAACAATTCTTTACCAAGAAATACGTTTATGATAAAATTTTGGAAAATGGGCGTGGCACCGCCCACATATGATCACATATATATATCTCGGTAACCGTTCTACCAATTTGTACCAAACTCGGTGTTGTTATTGTACTTGCCACATAGAAGCAAAACGTTGAAAATTATTGAATTCGGACTAAAATTATGGCCGCTTTTCATATAACGGTAAATTTTAGAAATGCATGAAACTTCAATATTTCGAAATTTAAGGACGCTAATTTACTCAAAATTGATACACCCCGGCTTACCATGTAGCGGTAGCTTTCGGTAAGGTGAAAAGGCATATATGTAATACTTGCGCCGGGTATTTAATGTTCGGCTCCGCCCGAACTTAGACTTTCTTACTTGTTTTTTTTTTTTATTTTTAGATTTTATTATTTAAGAAAGAAAATATTTTTTTGTTTTAATAACACTAAATTTTTAGAAACTTATTTAATATTTTTAATTTTTTAGGTTTTCTGGTTTAAAAGGAAAAGTGTACCTTTTTATTTCTTAAATTTACTTTATAAACAATTTTTTTTTTTGTTTAAATATATATTTTTTCAATTTGATGAAAGTTTTAGGAACATTTTAAATTATATTTATTTTTTCGTTTTTGATTAAGAAACGGAAACGCTTTTTTTATTGACGGTAGGTCATCCTAATGAATTCACAACGATTTTGGAAAATAATAAAACATGGACGTACAAAAATACAAAAAGGAAAACAGGTGTATCAGTAGATATACACATATCGCCTGTCAGCGCACGAGCCATAGCTTCTTTGGATCATACATATTTTGAATGAAAAAAGCAACTCCTCGAAGCGTGAATTAAGTAAACGTGACATATTTCCTTAGAAAATAATATAAAGTAAAAAATTCACTGACGAATAGCTAGCGAGCCAACCAATTTGTATGGCCAGATATGCGAGAAATAAGTTTTCCAACGACTTTTCAGGCGAATGCAGATGAATATTTAAGACAAAAGTTGCAAGCACTGACGAATATTTTATTTTTCATTTTTTTTTTTTGTTTTTTTTTTTGTTTTTACTGGTTTACTCCCCTTTCTTTCAACATTTCAAAGTAGTTTTGCAACAAGCGCTTCTCTGTGTGTGTCTTTTGGCTTTTTTCTACCTCGACAGCTGTTTGAAGCTCTTAAATTCACTGCTTGAAGTAACTAATATTTTTGCGTCTACATTGTACCTTTTATTCGACAACATAGCTACCTACCTACCCTACATATAAATGTATCTACATATAAATTTCATTTATTTTGCAATTGCAGTAGCACATATCCAGCACTGAGGCGTTACCATGGCGACTATGACGTTTCATATATAGCAAGAATAAATCCATTTTGGTTGCAATTCGAACCGCCAAGTACGCGCACTTACTACATTATGGCCATAATCTATATCATCATATCGAGCGTCGGCTGTCTTGGCAATTCGCTTGTCATATTTATGTTTTTACGGTAAGTGCACACCTAGAACATAATATTAATTGATATACTACTACATACTTACTTGAGTGCACAGAGCGGTGATTCAACTCTGTTGAAATTCAATAAATTTCTTTCGCGTGAGAGATAAAGTAGAATCCTCGAGTAAATTTGCTATTATTAATTATATAAAAAAAAAAAAAAATCAAAGGAAAAATCTATAAAAAATACAGTATCACGTTAGGTTTCATTTGGCAAACATTGTGGGCGATACTGTTGCAGCATGCGAGCGGCCTGGAGATTTCAGTATTCTCGGAAGTTTCGTCTTTATCCCTGTTAGTATGGGTCGCTGCGTGGTTAGTTTCACACAATTAGCACTTTCTATACTCACATCCTCCTAGGGATGAAGTATGTATGAAGCCGAAAGCGAGACATGGTGAATTTTTACACGGATGGGGCGAAGCCAGGCGGATTGGTTGGTGGAGGTGTATTTTGTAAGGAACTCTCTATTAATCTCAAATTTTGTGGTTTCATATAACTGTAGTTTTTCCCAGTAGCGGTCGCCTTTGAGGAAGCAGTCGAAGTCCGAAATGGATGTTAACATCTATTCTGATGGTCAAGTGGCAATCAGGGTGATGAAATCGTTCAGATGGCGCTCTAGCCTAGTAGGAGCTTAGGTTATTTCACTTTGTGCCAAATTGAAAAATTAACTGCCAATTGAAGTGAAATAGGGCCAAAAATGGCACCGTTTGAACCAAGTTGGCAGCCCTGATAGTAGCTACTCTCGAGTCGGTCCCACTGATAAAAGAGAGAGTGGAGATACCTGTGTTAGCAAAGGCACAGATTTTCTAACCGCAACTGAACTGCAGCCGGTCAAGGGCTCACAAAGTCTCAGCGCTCAAGTTTTCGGCCAAGTGTGCCCTCGCTTAGGGCAACCACTTTAACCTAACCGTAGGGAAGTTCTGAATATTACTATTATTATTACTATTTATTATTAGCTGACATTTTCAGAGTACAGATCTCAGGCTAGAAATTTCTGAGGAAAACTTCTTTCCAGACCGCGAAATGGTTCAAATCATTAGAAGACCGGTTGTTCCTTCTATTAAAAGGAGACGGACTTTTTATTCTCTGCTCACGCTAGCACCATTTTCCGAGATGGCAGAAGACAACATACAGCTCAATTACCTCAGTCATGGTATCTCTCCTGATAGACAGCTGCTTGGTTGGATTCATAAAACAAGTGTAAAACAAGGTGTTTTAATTCAGAGGTTAGGTATATCTGGTCTTCTAACAGTTCGAGAGAGACCACACTTTTCTCATATTCGTCCTACGCAACCTCTCTTATCCCTTACGTTGCACTGTCTTATTGATTTAAACGCCTTGAGACTAGGAATGAACCCACTAGACCATTGCCGTAATTTCACAAACATAGAAAAAAAAACGAAAATGTACAACACATTATACGAGTATGCCACTGACCGACATTAAGTCGAGAAATTTTCGTCTGCCTTGCAGAAATCTGACAGTTCGATATAAGGCGTCAACAAAGTGGTTTGCATCTAACCCATCCCATTATTTTTCTTAAGTGAATAACCTACTTAACGGCCTTATTAAATCAGCCACTTATGAATAAAATGCACACGACGACACGCCCGATTGAGCAAACAGTGACTAAATACTTGAGTGGGAGATTACTTGATGAAGGATGTGCGGTGCAATGAGGCATACAGGTGAATGGTACTAAATACACCTGACAACTGTCTTCTGAGTAGACTGCATAAAGTACTGACTAAGCAATTGCAGTTGCGGAAACAAAGTGGAGGGGAGGGGGGGAGGGGAGTCTGTTGACCCTGGTACATTTGTTGAGTTTGCCACATTTGCAAGAATATACAACGAGACACATGGATCTATATAAATACATAAATATTTCAAAAATGCTGAGGTTTAATATCCTTCATAGAACTTCAAATAGTCCTACGCTTGGCGTTTTCTGTCTCTTCCCACAAGATGGCCATGACACTTATACTGTACATGCGCACACACACATACATACAATTATAAATAAATAGTTATATATATATTTAGTATGTATGTATGTGCATCATGTAATTAGTGCTGTTTATTACGTTCTTATTTATGTCGGTTCACATGTTTAGGGCTTCCGTCACCGTCAATGTAGTAGTTCCTTTCAATGCAATTCTTAGAAAAAAAAAATTTATGAAAAATAGAAATTAAAAACTTAAGCCACTTGATGTATGTACCCGCGACAAATAAGTTTTAGAACAAAGAAAGTGTGAAACTTGTTTCGAAAGATTTAATAATATAGTACGCTACATAATAAGTAGTAACAAGCAACAAGGGTCATTTCTCTTACGTGAGTTTCTCTGTTGTCCATGCGATACTCATTCCCACATAAGAATTTCTGAGAATGATAATATAAATAAGTAGGTGCGAGACATTGCAAGATTTTACACAAGGCAAGGCTATGTATGTAGAAATTTAACCAGAAATTAAAAATAAATTTTTATACTGAATTCCCACGTAACATTGAATTGTCAAACTGTATGTATGTCATTTGAAAAATTTTTTGTGAAAAGATTTACAGGCCAATGTTGGCAACTATCTTTAAACTCACCACAGTCTTCCCAAAAACAAAAAATTTCTGTTTAAAACAATAAAATCTAAAAATAAAATTAAAAAGAAAAATATTAACAAAGGAGAATAAAATTGGTTCCTACAAATTAATATAATATAATCTAAAAATTAAAAGGCAATTAAATCGAAAAAATATATTAAAAAAAGATAAAAATAAAATAAAATAAAATAAGTACCAAAAAATTAAATGCAATTAAATTAAAATATATATATTTTTTTACAATAAAATCTAGAAATTAAAATAAAAAGGGAAAATAATTTAATTAAATAAAACGAGAAAAAATGTGTTTCTAAAAATTTAAGTAAATAAAAAAATAAAAACCTAAAATAAATTACAAATAGAACAAACAAATAAAAACAAGAAAATAGAATAGGTTTAAAAAATAATAATTCAAATTAAAAAATATGTATATTTTTCTTTTTCAAACTATAAAATTTTAAAAATTTAAAGAAAAAAACTTCCGCATCTTCAGTACTCGTAGACGGATCTCTCGTGCTTTGCCCACTCGGCCATTGTGACTGTTGGAGCAGCGCGAGCAAAATGGTACACGAGGGCTTTCTGTCAAAACAGCTTTTTACCATAAAAGTTGGCAAGAGAGCTTTTTTTTAGAGTTTCGTGACAGAATAAACAAAATCTTTCAAACTATCTTGCTTGCTGTCTTTCAATTGCTTTACAACTCGATTATGGTTTCGTATAGCCAATAAAAACCTTCGGTGAGATGCCCCATCTCTACCCTATTACCTCTTTACAGCAGTGTAGAGCCATTGCTGCCTTTTTTAAGCGGCCCTCAATATTCGGTTCCAACATAACTTCTTGCCTTTTATTGGGTCCAAGTACTTGGCCTGGTCAGAAGGCATAGTTAAAAAGCTCCCTAACGAGCATAACCAAATTTAGGTACCCCTGCATTAGATCATGCACAATGTTCAAAAATTTTAATATCCCAACATCGTATTCTTTCCAACTTCGCTAGAACACAGAATGTTACGACGATCCAAAGAAAGGATGGGAAAAACCTCCCTGCGAGGTACTTCTGCTCACTCTAAGTTGGACACAAGCGTTGACCGATTACGCTACAATAGTTCTGTCGTCGAGGATGCGGGAGATAAGCGTAGCTTCATTGTTATTGTCTCCGAGATTAATCAGCGCCGCTTCGATATCAAGGAAGACGCCAACTACAAACTTTTCATTCCTATAAGACTACATACTTAAAAACTTTAAAAATCTTCCGCAAAGTAGATTCCTCTGATCCATCGCTCTCTAGAAATCCAATTCCTTATAAACAGGCCAGGTTAATTGGCCTGAAGTCCAGCGGAGACAAGTTAAAGCCTTTTCCCGCCCGTGGAATTACAATTATACAAGTACCCACTCTGAACTCGCTAACACTTAAGCTCAAATGAGGGAGACTAATTCAGTACGTTAAAGCAATTAATATTTTTTGAGGAAGGTGTAAGTAATTCCCAATTAGATTAAAAAAAGAAATCTGCAGAAATATAACTAAGTAGATGTGTATGTTTGTTGGGGTCAAATTTTACAATACATTTTTAAACAACTTGCCGATAAGCTAGAGACTTGATTAGCTCAGAACCCAACGACAATGCAATATTAAAAATGAATTAATCACTAGGTAGCGCGGGTGTCGAGATATTTGAAACCCCCCATTTATAGTCCAAATTGATTCATATTTGAAATGTATATTACCTACATGAAAGGGAATAAATCCACAAAAAATCACTCTACAAAAAAACTTGCCGGTAGGTGGCGTAGGAGTCGAGATATTTGGGGAACCTGGTCCGATTTGCTTCATATTTAGAAGGCTTGTTTTAAAAAGATTTTTTTACTATTAACTTATTTCATAATACATCTAGATACATATATGTATGTATTATACACCTGCACTTAAATAAGTAACGAAAGTTTCTTTATTATTTTGAGTTTAAGCTTAAAATGCCGTGTGAAATGTTGCTTACCCTGAAATTTCAAATCTATACCATAGTAGCTTCATAAATTCATACAAAATTTTGTGTAACAAAAAAGTTTCCAAAGTACTTACGTATAGTTGTTTACAAATAACGCATTAATGATGACCTCGTTACTTACATATTAACGTACATATGTATGTATGTATGTTTATAAGTAAAGTTATGAAGTCTTCTTAAGAAGGGCATGTCTCTTGCTTTACTAAATTACACAAAATATTTATTAAAATTTGAATCGCTTTTTCTATTTCTTCAGCTGTAAGTCATTACGCACACCGGCAAATACATTGGTTATCAATTTGGCTGTGAGCGATCTGCTCATGTTGATGAAATGTCCCATTGCCATTTACAATAACTTCAAACAGGGCCCGGCGCTGGGTGATGCTGGTAAGTAAAACAGAAATATTTGAATTTCTTAGTTTGTATGAAAAGAAAGTACCTAACCACTTCTGAGGTTGTGAAGGCCTACGTACTATGTGTCCATATGTATATAAAAAAAAATCAAGCCTACTATAACTGGCCACCACTTTTATTCGCCACATTTTCCTAATGCTTAATTTTCTCTTTCCCCCCTTCGCCTGCAGGTTGCCGCATTTACGGCTTTGTCGGCGGCCTTAGTGGCACCGCATCGATAGGAACCCTAACTGCCATAGCACTCGATCGCTACAATGTGGTCGTACATCCGCTCGATCCGCTACGCAAGACAGCCAAAGTGCGATCCGCGTACCTGATCACAATGATTTGGATCTACAGTTTTGCCTTCTCCATTGTGCCGGCGCTGGATATTGGCCTCTCCGTTTATGTACCCGAAGGTTTTCTAACCACCTGCAGTTTCGATTACCTGGACAAGGGATTGGGGCCACGGATTTTCATGTTTGCATTCTTCGTTGCCGCCTGGTGTGTCCCCTTTAGCATTATCTGCTTCTCGTATTTCTACATCTTGAAAGTGGTCT